TTTCGGTTGGCGGATTATCAGGGGTTAAGAAGGTACCTAGGTGAGGTCACCTGGGAACAGTCACGTCAGTCCCCAGCAGGAAGGGGTGAGGTCATAGATGACACAACAATTGATCATGACTATAATATATTCACTAGTATACTACATAAAGCACAAGAACAAAATATACCATACAGAAAAATTAGGTCAAATAAGAATGAGCCAAGGTGTATGACCAGAAAACTTAAACATGACATAGGAATAAAGAAAGGAATATATAAGAAATTAAAGGGAGGGGAGGAGCAGCTCAGAAATAGGTATAATGAACTATCTAGGAATGTTAAGAAAAATGTAAGGAAAGCAAAGAGAGACTATGAAATCAAAATAGCAAGAGAATCCAAGGCGAATCCCAAGGGGTTTTTCTAGGTATATAGAACAAAGGTCAAGGACAAAGTTGGGCCTTTAAAGTCAGGGAGGGGAGAAGTGATAAATGGCAGAAAAGAAATAAGCAAAGCATTGAACAGCTACTTCTTATCAGTTTTCACAGAAGAAATTCGCTATGAAATTCCAGAGGTGGAACTGATATTTAAGGTAAAGGAAGAAGAGAAATTAAAGAATATCACTATCAGAAAAGAGGATGTTCTTAAGAAGATAAATAAACTAAAAAAGACAAAATCCCCAGGGCCGGATGAAATTTTCCCTCGAGTCTTGAAAGAGTGTAGGGAACAGATTAGCGGACCCCTCGTAAACTTATTTACAAAATCATTAGACACCGGAGTTGTGCCAGACTTGTGGAAACAGGCAAATGTAGTACCCATATTCAAAAAGGGAGACAGAGCATCAGCGTCAAATTACCGGCTGATCAGTTTGACGTCAGTAGTGGGGAAATTTCTTGAATCAATTATAGCAGATAGCATCTGATCGCATCTAGAGAAAAGCAAATTAATCTACAACTCTCAACATGGGTTTACGAAGGGAAAATCTTGTCTAACAAATCTGCTGACGTTTTTTAGGAAAGTCTTCGAGGTAGTAGATAATGACGAAAATTACGATGTTATTTACTTAGACTTTAGCAAAGCATTTGACAGCGTACCGCATCAGAGGCTTCTGAGAAAAATTAAGGCTCATGGTATCGAGGGGGAAGTTTTAAATTGGATAAAAGCATGTCTCACCAATAGAACGCAGAGGGTCAGCGTAGATGGTGTTAAATCTGAGTGGGGCCGTGTAACCAGTGGGGTTCCCAAGGGGTCAGTACTAGGCCCACTCTTGTTCATAATCTACATAAACGATCAAGATACTGGGATCAGCAGTGACATAAGCAAGTTTGCGGATGACACCAAAATAGGGCGGCAGATTAATTCAGGGCAGGATGCAAATGCATTACAGGAGGATCTAAATAAACTGCAGGGGTGATCTGAAAAATGGCAAATGAAATTCAACACCAGCAAGTGCAGTGTACTTAATATTGGAAGAACAAATACTGATAATGTATACAGCCTTAACAACATCAACCTAGAGAAGTCGACTTGTGAAAGAGACCTCGGGGTACTTGTAAGCCCGGACCTACGGCCTAGAAAACAGTGCGTTAATGTTCGAAATAAGGCAAACAGAGCAATGGGTTTTATATCTAGAAGTTTAAGTAACAAGAGTGCAGAGGTCAGGCCGCACCTCGATTATGCGGTTCAGTTCTGGTGCCCTTATTATAGAATGGATATAAATTCACTAGAGTCAGTGCAGCGAAGAATGACAAAAATGATTCCGGGACTTAGAAACCTTCCATATCAAGAAAGGTTAAAGAAACTTAACTTGCATTCCCTAGAAAGACGAAGAGTGCGGGGAGATATGATAGAAGTATTTAAGTGGGTGAAAGGAATCAATAAAGGGGATATAGATAAAGTTCTTATAATATCCGAGCAGGATAGGACTCGGAGCAACGAATTCAAGTTGGATAAGTTTAGGTTTAGGAAGGAGATAGGAAGAAACTGGTTCACAAATAGGGTGGTGGACGAGTGGAACAAGCTTAGCAGTTTTGTAGTAAGTGCGGGAACTCTGGAAAGTTTCAAAAGGAGGCTAGATAGATTCATGGATGATAGAGAGTGGTAGTAACTCTCGACAGGAGCTGCCATGCACAGGCCAACCGGCCTATTGCAGACTCCTTATTTGCTTATGTTTCTTCTTATGTAAAAAGCACCGCAGCAGTCGATAGTCAGGTCGGAGGGTAAGATGACCCAACCTTCTCACTGGATTCTATATGTTCCTACTGTCAATTGAATTACATACCGAATCCGTCAACATAAATTTGAGTAATGGTATGTACAAACTGGATAATTTCGTAATTAAGAAGATTTGTAACCAGGTGAGAAGGTTGGGTCATCTTACCCTCTGACCTGACTACCGACTGCTGCGGTGCTTTTTGAAGATTAGTAGGGTCATTACCTAATACTGACCATTGTGGACTTGATCTCACCCTTCTCTGTATATATAAATATATATATATATATATATATATATATATATATATATATATATATATATATATATAAATAATGAAAATAATAGATAAATCTTGATAAATCACACGGGAAAAATGAAACAACTCTTAGCTTTCGTCTTTATTCAATTGCCTCTGAAGATGTGTGAATAAAAGACGAAAAGCTAGTTACTTCTCCTTAGTCTGAAGATGTGAATTTCCCGTGTGATTTATCAGAACCCTAGACCTTATGCGTGTGATCAGGAACGATAAACCAGAAGAATGAGGAGGAGGCCAAGTTATGGTCATGATATCAAGGGGGCGGGGGAGATCCTTACCATTTTGAGGCACAAGAGAGAAATTGTTCTCATCATCTCCGCAAATCGTGAGAAACTGCCAGAAGACGAGAGAAGATGAAAGAGACGCAGGTTGTTTGGTCAAAAAATGTACTGTTGAGAGAGAGAGAGAGAGTATCACCACCATCATTACTACCACCATCACCACCACTACCATCTCCATCACCAAGGGGAAGGAAAATTTAACTCGAGAGCTTCTGAGAATTCAACTTAGTGCATTAGCTTAAGTGAGCCAGGAAACACTGAGATCTCTTTCAACCTCAAGTTTCGTTTCGCTTGTGTTTGAATTCGTTTCTCTCACTATAACCTTTCTATGTCTGGATTACCTGAAGGTTAACCCCAGTTTATTTCACCTTAAGGAGAGAGACAGAGAGAGAGAGAGAGAGAGAGAGAGAGAGAGAGAGAGAGAGAGAGAGAGAGAGAGAGCCTGGTTATCATCTACAGGTATCCAGGGGACAACTATTCATCCGCGAACGTGCAAGATATGAGATGTTTTGCCAATCAGTTGTTCCTTCCTTCTCTCTTTCCCTCCGTCCCTCTCTCTCCCCCCTCTCTCCTCATCCTCCCTTCCTCCCTCCCTCGCTCCTCTCCCTCCTTCGCTCCTCTCCCTCCTTCGCTCCCCTCTCACTCCCTCGCTCCTGTCCCTCCCTCGCTCCCCTCTCCTCATCCTCCATATCTCTTCACCCTCAGTCACCCCTTCCCCTCATCATCTTCCCTCCCTCACCCTTATCCCATCCACACCTCCCTCACCACATTTTCTCAACCAACCCCTCAAACCCTTCTTTCACCATTCCTCATCCCTTCCCATCAACCCTCCCTCACCTCAATTACTCATCAGCTCCCTCACATTGACCATGGCATAAGAAGGGTAGAGGGAGGGGATGGGGGGGGGATAGTCTTCCTCGTTAAGAATAAGTATGAACCTATGACAGGAGCTTATGTGGCACATCTCTCTCTCTCTCTCTCTCTCTAATGTGAATAATGGACTTTGTAAAACACAAAATAAACTACTTGCATTTTATCCTCACCATCTCTCTTTCTGTCTCCACACACACACACACACACACACACACACACACACACACACCAAATAAATGACTTAATAAAATCAAATCTAAATCTAAACTTTTTATTCCCAGCAAAAACAAAAGATAAACTTTTAATATAACAAACATTTAGAGATTAATGTTTCCCACAAACCTCCCGGGGTGTCGTGCGTGTCTTACTGATGGAGACAAAAGGTTCAACTTTCCAACGAGTGTTAGTGTGTTATTTGGGTTGAGAACACCGACCCCGTGTGTGTGTGTGTGTGTGTGTGTGTGTGTGTGTGTGTGTGTGTGTGTGTGTGTGTGTGTGTGTGTTTAAGATGAAGGCAAATAGTTTTTACAAACACACACATACACTTCATATGCTTTCAACGCACGTGCACAAATATTCATTTCTAAACACAAACATATAAATAAATAAATTTGCTCTCTCTCTCTCACACATACACACGCTCACTCATTGTATTATATATATTTCTCTATTCATTTCTCTCCCCTTCTCTCCCAGACACACTCTTCGTCTATCACTAGTTCTCTATGTACCTCACACAAACAGCCACCACTGATCCTCCTTCTCCCCTCATTATAACAAGGTTACCTGCAGGTACTGAGGGTAGGTGACCTTTGGGAACACCTGTGTCAAGTGTAAAACCTAATTGAATTTATGATCACCTACTAACAGGGATATGGAGGTTGAGAGGATACGGCACTCGTCTCCTGTACTAAGAGGTCACATATTCGATCCCGTGCCATCCACAGTCTACTCATCCGTAAGTGGGTAACGTGACTTTACAGTTGAGGAAATAAAGTAGGTCAAGTGAAGTGCCGGTCACGTTGCCTCTATTTGTTAGTCTATACCGGACTTACAAAGAGAGATAGTTGGACTCACAATGGACTTCACTGAACTAACAAAATGAAAGAAAACATGGACTTAAAAATAGAAAAATTGGACTTACAAAGAAAATTAGAGAATCAGACACTTACAGGGCCTTGGTGAACCTAAAATGGGACCTGTACTTGGAATGGACTTTACTGGACTTACAAAAATATGGTGAGTGAAAGAATCTTGGACTAACGTTAGGCCTTGGTAGACTTACAGAGATAAAGAGAATTGGACTTAAAAATAAACAAAGAGAGACTCGGACTTACACTGTGCTTTAGTGGACTTTTTGGTGGTCGGGGTCCACCGTATGGCCGAGAGGTCGTCCAGGAGGCGGAAGTATCGGTGGTACTGGCGACTGTTGGCCCGTAGTTTGACCATGCTGGACCCCTCGATCATGCACTGCAGACAGTCGTACGCTGAAACAACAACAACAACACTGTATTACTTGAACCTCTGTATTTATCCTGTTACAGTTTTCATGATGAAACAACAATTCTAGCTACATCACTGTGTTACATGAACGTTTGTGTTTATATACGTTGGAACACAAGAATAGATGTTACAACACTGTGTTACATGAAGCTTTGTGTTTATCAAGCAACACTAAAATCCCACAGTAGGTGAAGAAAACACACATATATAAACGAGAGAACCTGTTTTTCTGTGTTTTAACCTCTCGTCCAATGGATGTCTAGTGCTATAGATTATGTGGAATGACATAATTTCTTCAGTTATAATGCAACAATTGCACTGAAACACAACACAGCGTTACAACATTATCACATGAACGGCCTTTGTGTGTGAGAGAGAGAGAGAGAGAGAGACTGACCATTAATCAACATACAGGAAACATCTCGGAAAACAAAAACTGACTGAGAGCTGTTCAAGAAGCAGTTGTCTTGGAGAGTTAAAAAGCACCAACGTCTCTAAAAGCCTCTGAGTGCGTTGTAAAAGACAAACTATCTCTAGACGGGGAAGTGTCTCGTAAAAACAAGTGAATCTCTGGTGATGATTTATGCGCTGTCTTGTCCAGGAGAGACGCGCCATCGTAAAGGTCAAAGTGATGGGGGGTGGGGGGGGGGGATCTGAAAATACCGTATATGCGTAAATATATCCATCAGATCCTCACACGACTGAAAAAATCCATAATTAGTTATATACACGTATACAGATAATCACGTATATACTGTATAATTAGCATATTATACGCCATGAATAAAGAAATATTATATTCTTTAAAGATTATATCCTCTCTTTCCTCCCTTAATCAACCTCAAACCTCTCCTACACCTCTTTCATAACCATCTCCATTTATCTATATCCTCGTCTATCCACCTCATTACTACAGCAACCATCCAACTTACCATCCTCTACAGTAACTATCTCTAGTCATTTATTTATGGTCTCGTGTATCATCTCGTGACATCCATCCCCTACCCTTCAACCATCCTCACTAACCCTCCCTCTTGCTCAGGGCTGTGAACTCGCGGGCAGAGAAAAGAAAATTATGCAGACTGTCGGAATGTTTTGATTTCAGCTAACAACTCTTGTTTATGGGAGAGACAGAGAGACAGACAGACAGGCAGAGCTCTCCCCAGTTAGTGTCTGACGTGCTTCACCTGGATGGAATCTCTTACCTCCAATTAGTGAATATAATTACCTTCGGTTATTTGAGAATCCGGGATAAACACGATCACATCTTCCCTAGTAAGCGAAGAGGTACGATAGCCTTTCCAAAAAGCCAGCCTGTTTACATCTGCCAGACGCATGACTCCCGAGTTTCTCATTCATTATATGGGGTCACTATATAGCTAAGTGAGGTTGTTGCCTTATGAGTTATAGCCTCAGAGATGGTGGCCTCTATTGCTCTCGTAGACCAACTAGCGGGATGCCTCGACGTTTGGGAATGGTCAAATAGGTCACTAAGGGATTATAACAGCGTTGATACTGTGTGTGTGTGTGTGTGTGTGTTATTAAGCTATACCGACAGCCAATCACGAGCTAATACGCGTGAATGTGGGCGTGGTTGTTTTGCATTTTCAAGATGAACAGATTTTACGCTGAACAAACTCTTTTATAATGAGACTTCTGTTAGGGTAAGGTAAGGTAAGGTAAGGTAAGGTAAGGCAAGGTAAGGTAAGGTAAGGTAAACAAAAATCAAATGTTTGATTTACCCAACCTAGAAAATTTTTGTCCGATATATTTAAGCCATGTTAATATTTCTACGAATCTATTTGTCCTCAGATCACATACAATAAACGGTGAAAAAGGTAAATAAATATACCTATCAGAACCCGCACTCTCGGTAGTGGTTGAGAAAATCGAAAAAGAAAAAGGAAAAATCGACTTCCTCTTCCTATTTTTTCTTCAGCCCATTACCGGAAACACGTTTTTTTTTTTTTAATATAGACACATGACGAAGACTTTAATAATGATAATAATAATAATAATAATAATAAAATAATAATAATTATAATAATAATTATAATTATTATTATTATTATTATTATTATTATTATTATTATTAAAGTCTTCGTCATGTATCCATATACAAAAAAAATAATAATAATAATTATTATTATTATTATTATCATTAGTAGTAGTAGTAGTAGTAGTTATTATTATTATTATTATTATTATTATTATTATTATTATTATTATCATTAGTAGTAGTAGTAGTAGTAGAACCGACCCTCCTTCCATTGGATGGTGAGATCTTCCAACACAGGACTTCAAACACATCTAATGAAGCCCGTGTGGACGTCAGTGCTCGAGGATTCTGGACGCGGGGACAGCGAGCTTTCTTCCACATCAGGATTTTTGATCCCATGGCCGCATGTCACCGTAACCTAGCTCTCGACGTTGCACATAGGAGGAACGAGAACGACAAGAGAAGGGCATATGGGGAGAGAATTCAAAACGTTGATCAAGGCAGCTTCACTCCTCTAGTGTTCACAACCTCTGGTGGGATGGGACCAAGTGCAAGATGTTTCTACGCCAGACTCGCGGAGGTGATCTCCGAACAGAAGCAGCAGCCCAGAAGTTTCGTTACAGCCTGGATGAGATGTCGACTGTCTTTCTCTCTCCTTCGGTGGGCTTTGCTCTGCCTCAGGGGAACGAGAGCTTCTGCCCCAATCCCGACAACTGCTGCAGATATTGACTATGAGGCTACAGTCACTGAATGCCGTAAAGATCTGCGGCTCAACTAATTCAACACAGATAGGATAGCTACTTATGTATTAGGATATGTAATATTAAGGTAAATAAAATGGTGGCAAAGGTGTGGCTATTGGGGGAGGCTGGAGGCCACGTTTAAAAAAAAAAAAAAAGTAGTAGTAGTAGTAGTAGAATTAAGACTACTGCTGTTGTTGTTAATATTTCCTGCCTCAGCATGTGTCCAAAATGTTACACACACAGGTGACAGGTGAGAGGCACTCTGGGGTGTACTGCGGCGGGCCACTACACCACCTGTCGCTGTTTCTTGCACGACACAACACAACGCTGACAAAGACATACCTCGTGTGTCCCATAACTGAGTCAACAGTAGCTACTGACACCAACAGCCTCCTTGATTACATGTGTGTGTGTGTGTGTGTGTGTGTAAGGCCACAATCCCTCTACAGCCTCACACCCTCACGCCCAACACTACCATAACCCACAATTTACGGGCGTACCCTTATCGCTCGCCCTCCTTCAGTTCAGGGCTCCTAGGATCCACTCCACTGCTGCAGCTCGCACGATCGCTTGACTTAATAACCTTCCTTAATCCTGAGTAGTGTCTGGTACCATTATCACACTGGACTTTTTATACCTTTACTTGTTCCTGTGCTTGTATCTGTGCCAATATAATAATAATAATAATAATAATAATAATAATAATAATAATAATAATAATAATAATAATAATAATAATAATAATAATTATAATAAAAATAATAATAATAATAATAATAATAATATAATAATAATAATAATAATAATAATAATAATAATAATAATAATAATAATAATAATAATAATAATAATAATAATAATAATAATAACAACAACAACAATAATAATAATAATAATAATAATAATAATAATAATAATAATAATAATAATAATAATAATAATAACAATAATAATACCAATAATAATAATAATAATAATAATAATAACAATAATAATAATAATAATAATAATAATAATAATAATAATAATAATAACAATAAAAATAATAAAGATAATAATAATCATAATAATTAACGGTTTATTGAAAAAGTTCTGCAGCCCGAAGGCTGAAAATATACATTGGACATAAATGACTTATTACATACATTGGTGGTTTAACAAAAGCCTTCATTAGCGAAAGGAAAAGGAACATACAGTGAACATACAGATTAATGGAGGTGTTGAACAGCAAACATGTAGTGTAGTAACTCCCTCCCAGATGGTGTTAGGAGGGACTTCACGTGGTGTAGTAGTTCCCTCACAGATGGTGTTAGGAGGGACCTCACGTGGTGTAGTAGTTCCCTCCCAGATGGTGTTATGAGGGGCCTCACGTGGTGTAGTAATTCCCTCACAGATGGTGTTATGAGGGGCCTCACGTGGTGTAGTAATTCCCTCACAGATGGTGTTATGAGGGACCTCACGTGGTGTATATACGTGTATGTGTTCGTGAATCTATACCTGCCTAACTGCCTTATATCTGTTCCTGTAGTTGCACATTACTATACGTGTTTCAGCAGATGTATAATAATTTACCCTTATCAGTACATATACCTGTAAATTAACTTACTTCTATATCTCGATAAAGAAGATAAACGAAGCAACAACTTAAAAAATAAACTCCTTCCCCCAGTGACCTAAGATATACCTAACAAACTTGACTGTTGACCCCATGATGAAAGTGACATCACTGGCACATGTGGGGTAGGAAGAGGTCTTGGGTACTCAAGACATGTTATAGGAGACAGACCCTAACCTCGCTATAGAAAATTTCTCCATAAATATCTCGGGGGTGAATCTCTGGCTCCGTATTTCTCAAAGATCTGTACTTTAAGACTCTCGCGCTAAGGGGGAGATGTGGAAACGCACTTTACTCACCCACTTTAAGCTGTGACTTGGGGAAGGAGTCACAGAGATTTGTATTTTCTCGCTAACTGGAGATGTGAGAATGCACTCAACTGAAGGACTTCAGTTACGGCATAAAGATGGAGTCACAGTTATTCGTATTTTCACACCAACGACAGATGTGGAACCGCACTTAACTGACTCTCACTAAGCTGCGACACAATTATTGGATTCTCAAACTATCGTATTTTCACACTAACTAATGACTTGAGAACACACTTAACTGATTCACTTAAGCTGCGACACAAAGATGAATTCTCAAAGTTTCGATGAAAAAAACTTCGCCAAAAGTGGAGTCGAGATTTTGGTGTGACTCTACCGTAAAGTCATGGAAAGTTCTTTAAGATTCTAGCTTCAGTGTTCCGATCCTCAGAAGATTCGTATCTCTTGAATAAAATAGTTTAAATCCTTGAGTAAGATGACTTCATCCTTGAGTACGATGACTTAACCTTTGATTATAATGACTTAACATTTGAATATGATGACTTAATTAACCTTTGAGTACGATGACTAAAACTTTGAGTACGATGACTTAACCTTTGAGTACGATAACTTAACCTTTGAGTATGATGACTTAAGAACTTGAGTACGATTATTTAAAACCTTGAGTACGATGACTTAACGCCTTGAGTACGATGATGTAAAATCATGAATATTACGACTTAACCATGAGTAGAATGACTTGAAACCTTGAGTACGAAGAATTAAGTTATCGCACTCCAGGGGATAGCATCGTGAAAGAAATTCTTATCTATAATATATTTCACTCTCGTGTAGATCAATGAAGGAGCAGAAGACAAAGAAAGAAAGAAAGAAAGAAAGAAAGAAAGAAAGAAAGAAAGAAAGAAAGAAAGAAAGAAAGAAAGATTGAAGAATAAATAAATAAATAAATAAAGAAAGAAAGAAAGAAAGAAAGGATGAAGAATAAAGAAAGAAAGAAAGAAAGAAAGAAAGAAATGAAAGAAGCTTATCATCTAATCATTCTATTTTAATAAGCTATGTTTGTCAGACTCCACTACGAAATTAACTACAAACAAGATCTTCTTTTGCTGTTGCTTGCATAAGGCAAAAAAAAAATAATGATAATTATAAACAGAGGAAGAGCAATAAGGGAATAATAAAAGGAAGAATTTATTTCCTATATTTTTTTTTATTTTTTCGAAAACTAGTAAATTTATGTAAATGAATCGAAGAAAAAAAACATATTGACCTCTCTCTCTCTCTCTCTCTCTCTCTCTCTCTCTCTCTTTCTCTCTTTTAAAACACTAATCATGTTTGCTAGAATCAGGTTAACTTTCTTAATTAATGACAAACAATAGAAGTGAGTAAACAGTTCTGGGGTATACAGGAGTTGTTTACAGAGTTGCTGCAAAAGTTGTGAATAGTAAACACGAGAAAGTTTTAGCTTTTCTCAGTTTAGTTTGAGTAAGAGAGACACACGCGTGAGGAGATGCGAAGGAGGAGGAGGAGGAAGGCTTATGGAAATGGGAGAGAGGTGGGAAGTGGCAGAGGAGGAGGGAGAAGGGAGGAGCAAGTGGTGGTGGGAGAGAATAGAAAAGAGGAGGAGGAGGGGGAAGACTTATGGTGATAAGATGGAGAGGGGGGAAGTGGGAAGGAAGAAAGGATAGGGTTGAAGGAGAGGAAAAAGAGACGG